CCTGACATTCTTCTGTGATGAAAAGACTCTCCATGAATTAGGTGGCGAAGGAATGTCATATCAACACAATGAAGGTCACATGTGACAGCCCATGGTCAACATCGTACTCAATAAAGAGCCGGGAGCTTTTCCTCTAAAATCTGGAACACGACAAGGACACCCACCCTCACCACTTCTACTTACCATAGTACTGGAAGTCCTATCTAGAGCAATTAGACAAGAGAAAGAAATGACATCCAAACTGGAAATAAAAAAGCTCTAGTGCTTATGAAGGAGCCTTCCCAAAGCCTTATTGGATGAATTCTATTTCCCTCCCTGGTTACCCTGTAGACAAAAGGATCTCTGATGTGCGGTCTTGAGCTGGAAATACAGGGCCTCTGTATGTTAGAGAAAAATTCAAGCTGGACTCTAACAACGCCATTTGTGTGTGTGCAACCTGATTGCCTTGATGGTACTATGTACCTGGCAATGTTCTAAGCACTTGTAAATATCCACTTTGTCTTCCTAGCAGTCATTTGATGCAGTACTGTTATATCTCCCTTCAGGGAGGGAGAGACTGAGGATCAGAGAAGTTGAGGAGTCAGCTCAAGATCACACAGCTCTAAATGGTAGGAAATCCAACTTAAGAAGTTTGGCTCCAGGCGCCAGTGCTGTGGCTCACTTGGCTAATCCTCTGCCTATGGCACTGGCATCCCATATGGGCGCTGGGTTCTAGTCCCAGTTGCTCCTCTTCTAGTCCAGCTCTCTGCTGTGACCCGGGAGGGCAGTGGAGGATGGCCCAAGTGCTTGGGCACCTGCCCCCGCATGGGAGACCAGGGGAGGCACTTGGCTCCTGGCTTCAGATTGGTGCAGTGCCGGCTGTAGTGGCCATTTGGGGGTGAACCAACAGAAGGAAAACCTGTCTCTCTCTCTCACTGTCTATAATTCTACCTGTCAAATAAATTAAAAAAAAAAAAAAAGAAGTCTGGCTCCAAGGTCAGGCCTCCTAAGTACTATTGTCTGCTGCTTCTTTCTCTTCCAGAAAAATAAATTACTGGATTGTGGGTGTCTGGAGGCAGAACTAAGGCTTCGCCAGCTGTGCTAGGGTACATCAGTGGTGTCATAGAGGTGTTTCATAACATAAGAATGTGTGTGTTTACATCCACGAGGCCACCTCCATGCACCCTAAATTAGCTATGCACAAGAGCTCTGTGGTGTGGCTGAGGGAGGGCAGCACTGGTGTCCAGGCCGAGCTTCTCAGAACACAGTTACCAATGGTGGCTCACCCTGGCCCTTGCTGCTCCACGGCCCGCCCTGGTGGCAGAGCCGCACTTGGGGGAAACCACAGAAGTGCAATGCTCAGGGTTCCTACTGTCGCCACCCTACACTCCACAGGGGTTGGGGGTGATCCCAGATCAGCCTCTGAGAGAAAGAAGCACTTCTCAGGAAATTGTGCTGAGGGAGGTGAGCCGAGCAGGAGGAAGGACAGAAGCGAAAGGGGAGATAAAGCTGCAGCGCACGCAGCCGGGACGCTCCAGGGACCTGAATTCAACTTCCTTCAGCTTCTACTGCAGGTTTTCATGCACAGGGACCCCCAGCTCAGTGACTGCTTTTTCATGAGCTGGCACATAGACATTGTCCCCAGTTACCGTAGAGTGGTTATGAGCTTTGATCCAACAATAATCCACTCACAGTCATGACTGTGTTCTTATGACACATTATTTTTTTTTTATTTATTTGACAGGTAGAGTTATAGACATTGAGAGAGAGAGACAGAGAGAAAGGTCTTCCTTCCATTGGTTCACTCCCCAAATGGCTGCTCTGGCCGGAACTACGCCGATCTGAAGCCAGGAGCCAGGTGCTTCCTCCTGGTCCCCCATGCGGGTGCAGGGCCCAAGCACTTGGGCCATCCTCCACTGCCTTCCCGGGCCACAGCAGAGAGCTGGGCTGGAAGAGGAGCAACCAGGACTAGTACCCGGCACCCATATGGGATGCCGGTGCTGCAGGCAGAGGATTAGCCAAGTGAGCCATGGCGCCGGCCCTTGACACATTATATTTTTAAAATATTTATTTAGTTACAAAGTAAATGGCATGTGTGTGTGTGTTGTGTGTGTGTGTGTGTGTGTGTGTGTGTGTATCTTCCATACCCTAATAGCCACAATAGCCAGGTCTAGGCCAGGCCAAAGCCGGGATCCTAGACTTCCATCTGGGCCTCCCACATGGATGGTTGGGGCACATACACTTGGGTCATCTTCTGCTGCTTTTCCACGCACATTAGCAGGGAGCTGGATTAGAGGTTAATCTGGGTCTTGAACTGGCAGCCATATAGGATGCTGGTGTTGCAGGCAGTGGCTTAACCTGCTCTGCCACCATGCTAGGCCTGCCAATATCTCTTTTTATGCTTATCAATGAGCAGAACTATAATCATTTTTTTTTGCAGGCAATGAAACTGTACCTTAGGAGATACAAGGGGCCTCAGAAAGTTCATGGAACTTCTGAATCAATTGCTCTATTGTAGGGTCTTGCAATCATTTCTTTATTTTTTAATTTTTAAAAGATTGTATTTGAGAGGCAGAAAGAGACAGACATGTAGACACAAGAATGCGCATCCAGAGACAGTGAGAGTGTGCTGCTCTCTGCTGTTTCACTCCTCAAATGCCTCCAGGGCATGGCCCCTGCCAAATCAGAAGCCGAGAACTCAGTTCAGGTCTCCCACTGCCTCCCAGGGTGTGTGTTAGCAGGAAGCTGGAACCTGGAGTGGAGCTGGGCCTCAACCTGCCACTCTGATTTGGAACACAGCCTTCTTCCCTGGCATCTTAATTGCTAGGCCAACCACCTCTTCTTGGCATCCTTTCAAGACTGTCTATTGAGAACTACCGGTGTGGACCTTGAATTTGCCTTCGGTCACGGGCCATCCATGTTTATCTTGTGTTGAGGGTCAGCATGACTCCCTAGGTTCTCAGGTGTCTCTGCTTTTCCCTCTAATTTGCCTGGGAGCTCAAGGGCAGGAGCCAATGTGTATTAGCATTTTTCAGGATGAGGGCCAGTGCTGGTCACAGACCAAGGGGCAAGATGAAGATGGAGTTGAGGTTGTGTGTCATGGTGGCTGCTCCCTGTAGCTCATGACTTCATTTCTAAGTCCATGAGATTGTCACTTGAATTTTGAATGCTATGAGATTGGGACATTGTATTAATGGAGAGAAACAGAGTTGACAGTAATATATTCCTACAGAAATGCCTTCCAGATAATTTTTCCCTACATCCAACCCCAATAAACGTATTCTGAGCTATAGTAAAAGAAGTTTACATAAAGGCAGTTAGTCCTTGGCTTGTAAAGGAAGGGAACGAAGGTTTGGCATTTAGTCACCATCTTGTCATGGTAGTTAAATTCATCATCAACATCAGCATCAACTGTGTCACCATGAGGCATTTATTTCTCACAGCAGATGTTTCTAGAAGTGCCTTGTTAGAAGGTAGATGACTAAATATATCTCATTAAAGTGAAGAAAAATACTTGACTACTAAAGGGAACTTTCTATACATGAGAACATCTAACACTAAATAATTTTGTCGTTCTAAGTATCTATGCTCTGTGACAGGAGGAAAGTTTTCTTTCCAACTGATGGGCTGAATCATTGTGCATTTTAATTTTCTTGTATGTTAAGGCTAACTTACTTGGGGCTGGTATTGTGGTGCAGTGGGTTAAGCCACCACTTGCGACACCGGCATCTCAGATACAGTGGAAGTTCAAGACCCAGCTGCTCCACTTCCAATCCAGCTCCAAGGTAATGAGTCTGGGAAAGCAGTTGATGATGGTCTAAGTATTTGGACTCCTGCCACCCAGGCTGGGGACCCAGATGGAGTCATTTGGGGAATGAACCTGCGGGTGGATGATCTCTCTCTCTCTCTTTCTCTCTCTCTCTGTCACTCACTCTATCTTTCAAGTAGATAAAATATTTTTTCAATAAAAGAATAGCTTGCTTGTTTTCTAGATGGTTTTTGCAGTTTATGTGCGCTGGTATCTGTGTCTCTGCGTTCACATGCACAAGAGAAAGAGGTAGAGCACAGTGGCAGTGGGAGTGACGGTGAAACATGTGGGAGGGAGAGAGACTTTCTAAGAAAGGTATGATGTTGGCAGAAATAGACAGGACTACCAGGCCCCTCACTCTGGACTCTGTGAGACCAGCAGAATCGTAACACAACTCTCAAGAAAAGTCAAGACATTATCCTCACTTCCTTGCGTACCAATCTGTGAGTCTACACAGCCAGCGTGAGGGATTCTTCAAGTGGTATCTATTTAAAAGCCTTTGATGCACCGGCTGAGGTGATCTCTTCCCACAGACAAGCACCCGCCCTTGCCTTGATCAAATTAAGTAAGAGAAACACTTTTTCTCAAGAAGCAGACTGAGATCTGAGGCATAGTATGGTGGTGAATGTTTAACGAAGGGATTTCTATTGAAGAACAAGACACAGGCTGTTGCCAGATTCAGTGGTGTAAATGTTCCTCCCGCAGCTGGCTGAAAGCACCCCAGTGATGATGTTGAATACAGACTTGAGAAAGGATGAGCACATTGGCTCCCCAGCTCACCACTGGACTGGGCCACCAGATCAAATAAGATTGGATCTTTGGGGAGGAAGACCCTTTGGCATCAGGCTGAAATTGTCTGAAAGAATATGGAGCCCCAAGCAGGGGTAAGTCTAGACATTATGTAGCCAAAAGGCTGTTTCTCATGGGGAAACCAGGGCTACCTCAGGAGAGGGATTAGAAAGAAGAGCACACAAAACTCCCCAACAAAAAGATGGTCTGTGACCATAGCCAAGGGATCCTTTGCCTTGAAGCCATGGTTTACCCAAAACTCAGGACACAGCTGAGAAAGAACGTGATTTACAGAATAACTCCTATCTCCTATAGAATTGTACCATCCTCCACAAGATCTCACTCCAAGAGGAAGGCTGAGTGTTTCCACATACCGCTCACTGGGAAAAAAACAGTCAGAGGAATGTCAGGGACAACCCCACACGTGCTCTAGTTGGGTAACAGCCACCTCCCACTCCTTCCAGAAGCATGGCTCACCAGAAGGCCAGCCCCAGGATCCCATATAAAACCTGTGCCTGCTGCCGCCTCCTCACCCACTTTGCTCCTGAGGAACGCATCTGTGGCTGTTGTCCGAGGCCAGGGTGAGTGTTTCTATGGCAATCCACATGGAGGCGCTGAGCAGGCTGGAGACAGGCTGGAGAGTGACGCTGGGAGATGCAGAGTGGAGGGTGGAGGAGGACACGATGTAGGCCAGGACAGAGGTCAGGAGGCAGGGTTTGCTCTAGACAAAGCAGGAATCAGCCTAGGAAGGCTTGTCCCTGTGGGCAGAGAGAAAAGGGACAGGTGCTCCTCATTCAAGGGGAGCTGGCTCCAGCTATGTAGACATAAATTTATATTGGTACACATCAGGAGATGATAGTTCTACCAATTTCCAAATTTTATGCCTAGAGGGATGCATAGAATAGTGAGGGACTTGAATTATCCTAAAAATATCATGAGACACCAATTCCAGTTTTTTGAGTGTGATTATATTTATCAACTCAATACATACTGAGAATATCCTAGAAACACAAAAGTGAAGAAGATAAACTCTGCCTCAACCAGGTCTCTGTAGATTCACTTATTCTGCCATCCCTCTGTGTTACCTTGGGGAAGCATGGCAAAACAGGAAACATGTTAATGCCTTTGGATACTTAACATCTGAAAAATTTCTGCTTCTTCATGCAGGTTGAGTCACCACAAGATGTCCTGTCAGCAGAACCAGCAGCAGTGCCAGCCCCCTCCCAAGTGTCCTACTCCGAAGTGTCCCCCTAAGTGTCCTCCCAAGTCTCCTGCCCCGTGCCCACCTCCAGTGTCTTCTTGCTGCGGCTCCAGCTCCGGGGGCTGCGGCAGCTCTGGGGGCGGCGGCTGCTGCCTGAGCCACCACAGGCCCCGCCGGTCTCCTCGACGCCGACACCAGAGCTCTGGCGGCTGTACCTGTGGCAGCAACTGTACCTGTGGGAGTGGCTGTAGCTGTGGCTGTGGCAGCAGCAGTGGCAGTGGTTGCTGTGTCAGTGGCAGTGGCGGCGGCAGTGGTCAGCAGTCTGGGGGCTCCGGCTGCTGCTAACCTGGGCACCCAGGAGTAGCTCTGGAGGAACGGAAGGGCAAAGACCCACAGCACCTGGTGTTTTGCCCGCTTCTCCCTCTCATCTCTCTCCTGATTCCATCCTTTGAACAAAAATGCAAAGCTTGTTTCCTGGGGACAGTATCAATGGAACACTTTAGATCTGCCTTCTTTTGCACTCCTATCAATGTTTTTCCCCAGACTGTTGAAAAATCTTGTGAAGCATGTGATTAGCAACAATAAATTTACTTATAAATCACTATTTGACTTTTCCTTGTCTCACTTTTCCTCTCAATCCCAGTGCTTCTCTGGGTGGCAGAACATGTTTTCAGCTTACACTGTGTAGAGAGGATTCAACCAATTGAGCATGAATAAATTAAATTCACACACACACACACATCTCTGCATTTATGAAGCAAACGAATAAGAGGAGAATTAGAGTTTCACTTCTAGTAAAATATTATGAGATACAAGTGTGGACTTGACAGGTAGAATATTCTATTTAAGTAAAAATTCACTTCCTAGTTGATAAGTATCTATTGCAGGCAGTAGTCCCATTTCTCCCTGCCTTTCAGAGGGTTAGGATACGAGATTGGTCTCAATGTTGGTGGTAAACTGATAGGGGAGTTTACTAGTCTTATTTTTTTCTAACTTAATATTTCATTAATTTATTTTTGAGATAGCATATTTTGAATTTACATTATAGTCAAAGGCTTATTGTTTCCACTAAATAAAGAGTTAAACAAATAAAAATAAAAAAGGCACAGTCTGGGCCGGTGCCGCGGTTCACTAGTCTAATCCTCCGCCTTGCGGCACTGGCACACCAGGTTCTAGTCCCGGTCGGGACTCCGGATTCCGTCCTGGCTGCCCCTCTTCCAGGCCAGCTCTCTGCTGTGGCCAGGGAGTGCAGTGGAGGATGGCCCAAGTCCTTGGGCCCTGCACCCCATGGGAGACCAGGATAAGTACCTGGCTCCTGCCATCGGATCAGCGCGGTGTGCCGGCCATAGTGCGCCAGCCGTGGCGGCCATTGGAGGGTGAACCAATGGCAAAGGAAGACCTTTCTCTCTGTCTCTCTCTCACACTATCCACTCTGCCTGTCAAAAAAAAAAAAAAAAAAGGCACAGTCTGGCAGAAAACTAGGCAAGGGCTATAAACAGTAATCAAAGGAAAAGATGTTAACTTCACTCATATAAAATAAATTTTAAAATACTCACAAAATCATTGACACTATAGAGTATATAATTCCTATCAATTTGTTTGGCAAGAATTTAAAATAAAGTTTGACAAAACACTGTATATGCAGCACAACTGATATGCATGGGCATTTAGAAAAATGTCCCACATATAAAGGAGAACACGTGCCATTTGTCTTGTTGTCTGCTTATTTCACTCAGTTATGTCTTCCAGTTCCAATTACTTTGCTGCAAATTACAAAATTTCATTCTCTTTTTTTTATAGCTGAACAGTATTCCATATATGTTTATGTATCACATTTTCTTGATCTGATTCTTCTGATGATGGGCACCTTGGTTGATTCCATATTTTGGCTATTGTGAACATTGCTGCTATAAACATGGTGGAGCAGACATCTCTTTGAAATAACGAATTCAAGTCTTTTGGGTATAACCCAGGAGTGGGATTGCTGGATCATATGGGAAGTCTGATTCTAGTTTCCCACATTGGCTGCACTAATTTACACTCCCACCAGCGATTACAAGAGTTTTCCTTTCTCTACACGTTCCCCAGCATTTGCTGCTCTTTATCTTTTGGCAATTAGCTGTCTGACAGGGGTGAGGTGAAATTTCATTATGGTTTTGATTTGCATTTCCCCAATGACTACCGATAGCATTTTCTCTCACATATTTGTTGCCCATTTGTATTTATTCTTTTGAGAATTGTCCATTCAGGTAATATGTCCATTTCATAACTAGATTGGTTATTATTTTGTTGAGTTTGTTGAGTTGCTGATGTATTCTGGATATTAATCCTTTGTCAAATAAGTAGTTTGTGAATCTTTTCTCTCATTCTGTCAAGTGTCTCTTCACTCTATGGATTGTTTCCCTTACTGTGCAGAAGCTTCTGAGTTTGCTGTAATCCCATTTGTCTGGTCTTGCTTTCATTGCCTGTACTTTGGGGGATCTTATCTATATGCCTTCACATACAGTATTGTCAAAGTGTTTCACCTACATTTTCATCTAACAAATTCATAGTTGAGATCTTAAATTTAGTTCCTTGATTCATGTTGAGTTGTTTGGATGAGAAGTAGGGGTCTAATTTCATTCTTCTACATATATAGGTCTAGTTTTGACAGCAGTGTTTATTAAAAGACTATGCTTTTTTTGATGTGTGTTCTGGGCATTTTTGTTAATTACCAGTTGTCTGTACATACATGGACTAATTTCTAGGTTCTCTGTTCTTTTGCATTGATCTATGTGCTGGTTTTTATGCCAGTACCATGCTATTTTAATGACTATAGCTTTGTAGTAGCCTTTGAAATCAGGTATTGTGATGTCCTCAGCTTGATTATTATTATTATTTTTTTTTTTGCACAGGATCTCTTTGACTATCCTGGGTCCTTTTGCTTCCATATGAATTTTAGGATTGTTTTCTCAAATGCTGTACAGATGTCATTAGTATTTTGATAGAGGTTGCATTGAATATGTAGATTGCTTAAAGAAGTACAAACATGATAATTATATTAATCTTTTCAATCGATGAGCAAGGCATACCTTGTTTTTGTGTCTTGGTAATGTCTTTTATCTGTATTTTATAATTTTCATTTTAGAAATCTTTTATCTTTTAGTTCTTTGGTTAAATTTGTTCCTAAATATTTGACTTTTTGTAGCTACTATGAATGAAATTTATTTCTTGATTTCTCTTTCAGTAAGTTCATTATTGATGCATAAAATGCTACTGTTTTTCATATGCTGATTTTTGCACCTGCAACATTACTGAACCAGTTTATCAATTATCAGTGTTTAGGTTTTCTATGTACAACATCACGTATATCATCTGCAAAGATGAATATTTTGACTTCTTCCATTCCAATTTTGATGTACTTTCTTTCTCTTCTCTAAGTGCTAACATTTGTGTTTCTGTGGTATTGGTTGTAATGTCTCCCTTTTCATCTCTAATTTTATTTATTTGAGGTTTCTTTCTATTTGTATTTGTTACTCTGGCTATACTGATCGTAATAGCGGTTCTGATCAATGATTTTGCTTGCATACAGCAGCCCAGTTAAATGAACCAGTGGTGAAACTTTTCTCCTCACCCTCCCTTCCCTCCTCCACTCCCTTCCCTTCTTAATCTTCTCTCCCCCTCCTTCCTCCCTTCTTTCCTTTCTTTCTCTTTCCTTTTTTCTTTCTCTTTCTTGCCTTCCTTCCTTCCTTCCTTCCTTCCTTCCTTCCTTCCTTCCTCTCTCCCTCCCTCCCTTTAATTTTCTTTCAGAGAAGTGTACCTACAATGACCCAGCTTTCTTCTCCACCGTCTGTCCTGGAGACACAAAGCCCTCATTACACACTGCTGACTTAGAACTCTCAGTAATGCACTAACACTACATAGGGACCGCACAGGACAGACTGGAAGTGCACCCCCTTCTGGTCTTGTAGGGAACACAAACGACTTCATCTAGAAGTTGTTGAAGAAGTTGTCATGGCTCGCTGAGAAATCTCTATTCAAATAAACTTTAGATTTAGATTAGATTTGTGATTGATTTAAAGTTTTGTCTCTTCAGGCTATTATAGTATATAAGATCTGTGAATATGGGGGCTGCACTGGTCATTGTCCAGTCAAAAATGCAGAACCACTGAGAATAAATATTTCAGAAAGAGAAGCATGTAAGGCAGAAATTCATTTCAAGCATCTTGGACTGATGAGAAAAGCCAAAGCACAGGGATTGTTTTCCAAATGTCAGGAACAATTAGCTTCCTATGATAGAGGAATAAAGTGACAAAGATGTTATCACGAGAAGATTAGGGAGCAGCCTCTAGCTCCGGCCACAGTCCACACTTACTACTGGCCTTGTGGCATTGCTCCCACTCCCCCTGCTGGAACTATGCATCTGCTGCTCCCCAGGACTGAGCTAAGGCCCATGCCACTGTTGATGCTCCTGGGACCACTGCTGCTGCCCTCCCACACCTGCTGCAGCACCGGATAGAAAATGGTCATTACCGGCCTCTCACCTCCCATGAACAGAACCAGCCAGCTGGTCAGGGCATCTGGTGCATGGCAGTACTCAGGCTTCTAGTCCTGGTAATCTGAAACAGCACACAGATACCAGGACAAGGATGCATGGTAACAGACAGCATTTGGCATAGGGGCCATCTCCGTCTCCCTCACCATCATAGCCCCAGTGTGCAGCACATGGTTCCGGGAACAAGTTAGGTTCCTAATATTAGTATTTAACTGAGGAATAGATGCTCTGATGCTTAAGCTCAGGGAAAGGAGTCAATTTAAAAACTGATACATTTCTTTAATATCACCTCAAGGAAAAAGTAATTATCTCTACTAAGTCTTAGAAGTCATAGCAGACACTATTCTTGTTTATGTGATCCCTTTGGTTCTTAGTCCTATCATTATGATCAGTTGTGAACAGAAATTGATCACTGGGACTAGTGAGATGGCATTGGTACATGCCACCTTGATGGGATTGAATTGGAATCCCCTGGTATGTTTCTAACTCTACCGTTTGAGGTAAGTCAGCTTGAGCATGTCCCGAATTGTACATCTCATCCCTCTCTTATTCCCACTCTCATATTTAACAACGATTACTTTTCAGTTAAGTTTCAGCACTTAAGAATAATTGTGTATTGATTACAGTATTCAACCAAAAGTATTAAGTAGAACAAACAAAAAAATACTAAGAGGGATAACATATCAAGTTGCTCATCAACAGTCAGGGTGAGGGCTGATCAAGTCACCGTTTCTCATAGTGTTCATTTCACTTTAACAGGTTTCCTTTTTGGTGCTCAGTTAGTTGTCACCTATCAGGGAGAACAAGTGGTATTTGTCCCTTTGGGACTGGCTTATTTCACTCAGCATAATGTTTTCCAAATTCCTAACAGGGATCACTTTTCAGTTAAAATTTAAACACCCAAGAATAGTTGTGTGTTAATTACAGAGTTCAACCAATGGTACTAGAACAAAAAAATACTAAAATGGATAAAGTATTACATTGTACATCAACCGTCAGGACAAGAGCTGATCAAGTCACTGTTTCTCATAGTGTCCATTTCACAACAAGTTTCCCCTTTGGTGCTC